GAAAACATGTAAACAAGAATGTTAAATAACTATATATAAATATTTTAGCAATCAATTTGTTATATGATTAATATATGTCTACGGTGTCTTTTTTAAATTTATGTATTGTTAGGATGCAAGCAAAGTCCCACATCATTCAAACAAGAGGATGAACATAGGTTTATATACACACAATTGTCTCCATTGGTTGAGAGACCTTTTGGGTGATGTCCAAAAGCAAAACCGTGAGGGCTTGGGCCCAAAACGGACAATATCTCACCAATGTGGAGACATGTGTATATGTGTGGGGTAACCCCCTCGATGCACGACAAGTGGTATCAGAGCCTGGTTGTCTGATCAGACAACCGGCTCGACGAGTATGATGGCTAGCAAGTGGATCCAAGTTTGGGATCCCTTGTGTCGAAAGTCTTCCTAACGGTGGGTACGGTCCATGTGGAAGAGAGGCTTCCTAGTAACATAGAGGGTTAGGAGGCGTGTCCCGCTATCATGAGGGAGGTCATGATGGAGCGGCGGTGCAAGCACTCTGGGCGTGAGTGAGCTCTGTGGGGCCACCATCGGATAATACTTGTAGTTTTCGTTCCAGGGGAAGGGGCAAACCGTGTGGTCCTTTGTTTGAGGGGAAGATTGTTGGGATGCAAACAAAGTCCAACATCGTTCAAACAAGAGGATGAACATATGTTTATATACACACAATTGTCTTTGGGTGATGTCCAAAAGTAAAACCGTGAGGGCTTGGACCCAAAACGGACAATATCTCACCAATGTTGAGACATGTATATATGTGTGGGATAACTCCCTCGATGCACAACATGTATTTCACAATCAAGTCAGTCTAAAGTGTTCACAATCAAACATCATGCACTCGGTCATCATTGAATCATAGTGAAGAGCACCACATTGCAAACAAATCATATATGAACTAACCTCATAGTGGTCACCATCGTAAGCGACTTTGTGAAGAACTTCTAATTAATTATATAAAGCATATAGTGATAAGTTAAGTTTTGTGTATCAATGCCATTATGTAATGTCAAAATCTGTTCATGAAAATGTCGATAAAAACTCATTTGATAATCAAATATATGACCATATTTCTTGATTGGCAAATCACTTCTATGGCATGCACAATAATAAAAGATATAGGAAGAATATTTGGATTTAAAAAGTTATAATTTATGAAAGGTAAAAATTTTGATATTATTGTGATATGTAATCTTATGATCATTCATGAATTGTTTGAGTTGCTCAAACTTATACTTTAGTAATTAATTATGTATAATTTAAGTAAATAATATGAAAAATTAATATGAATTTTTTTATCAAAAATTAATAAATATTTCTTTATAATTCATAATTTATTATATTTCTATTTTAAAAATATTAATTACATAAACTCTTATTAATATGATTTTTTTTTGCAATATAAGATATTAAGAGAAGAAAGATAAATAAATTAAAAAGAAAAATAAAAAATGTGTCAAGAGAAAAATTATAGGTTAAAAATAAACAAAGTATGAAGAATGAAAGCATTGAAAATTGTTTAAAAAAAACAAAAAATACTAGACATGATCCTGGAAATGTGTTAAAAAAGTGATAGTTTGGTTTATACCATAATAAACATCCTCCGCAAGAGATAAATATATTCGAATAGGATAAAATTACTATGATTTATATAACCGGTGAAAACTGTGTTAAAGATGATATATATATATATATATATATATATATGAAATTAAAAATATGATAAAAAAATTAAAGAATAATCGGAAAAATAAAAGATAAAAAACATTTTTAATTAATATATAAAAATATTTTATTTTTTTAAAAGGATTCACTCTATTTATTCATACTTGCTTTCTCAATAGAGATTTCTCTCTATTTTTATTTTATTTTATTTTATTTTTATCTTGTTGAGTCTAATTATATTGTTTTAAACAATTATAATTATTTTGAATATAATTTTGTAAGAAACATAAAAGTTTAATTTAAGTAATTATCAAAACATTATATTTTATAACTATAAATTTTTTAATATGTATAAGAAACACATATATCACCGTATGATGCATGTATCGCACCAGTATAATTTTATATAATATGTAGAATAACTATTTAAAAAACTTATTTAAAATGATTCTTTTATTATTTAACAAGATAAAAATCTTAAAATTAACTATACATGAACATTAAATCCTTTTAAATGAAGAACATAACTTTTGCAGCCACGCAGGTTGCTCCAAAATTCCAAACAACCAATAAATCCGTCCCCACACAAATATACATTGAAAGAGAGGCGTAGATTTGTTTTATGGATCATCCATGCATGTCTGTTTCTCTGATTCTTGCTTACACTAGCGGACACAATGTCTTAATGAGGATATTGATTTATCGATCACACATAACGAAACAAAACTGAAAGCTGAATAGCTGATGAGAATGAAAACAAAAGTAAAATTGCATGCACTGATCCTGCACAGGCCTTTAATTTTATACAACCCCTTTTAATGAAAACTTAAAAAAAAAAAAAAATATATCCTTTCCTTCTCTTCTCTCTTGACCCACGCGATTTTAAGATAATCTAGTGGAAACATGGAGATATAGTAATCAATAGGAGGGTTGACGTACCTTCTAAAGGAAGGG